TGTTGCTATCAACATCGCAACCTAAAGGGGATTCATTGCCAATAGATGGGGAATCTTGTATGATTGCAGAAGACAGAGCTCAGGAGATACTTTGCACTATTCAACCTTCCATTGTTTCGGACAGAAGTAGGAATGAGATCATCGATTATGTACGAACTCTAATCAAGAGTCACGATGGAATTGAGGTTAGAAACTTTGGCACTCTTGCTGACATGTGAAAGCTTTTTCTTTGTTGATTTTTAAATGGGAAAATGTTGTCTACAGGTCTTTTCATTTGGTTCAGTGCCTCTAAAAACGTATCTCCCTGACGGAGATATCGATCTAACGGTCTTAACTAAGCAGAATATGGAGGATAAATTCTTTCAAACATTGTACGATATGCTAAAAAGTGAAGAAGAAGGGGAATCTGAATTTCATGTAACAGATGTACAGTTTATCCCTGCACAGGTTTGTTTGCTTGTTTCATTTTCGTTTTGGTTTTGCATTTTCAAGAGTGTCCCAAATTTTACTTAACCAAGTTTGCAGGTCAAAGTCATAAAATGCAACATCAGGAACATTGCTGTTGATATCTCCTTTAATCAAATGGCAGGTCTCTGTGCTTTATGTTTTCTGGAACAGGTACCATTAGCTATTCAAGATTAGCCTCTAAAAGTTTACTAAACATTTCAATGATCCGAGAATCCAGTTTTTAGTTATTGGTAAATCTCTGATCTATGTATTCTCAGGTTGACCAACTCTTTGGGAGAGATCATCTTTTCAAGCGTAGTATCATCTTAATTAAAGCTTGGTGCTATTACGAGAGTCGAATTCTTGGTGCTAACACTGGATTGATCTCAACATATGCATTGGCAGTTCTTGTCTTGTACATCATCAACCTATTTCATTCATCATTATCCGGCCCTTTATCGGTAGTTAATCTTTCTCTGAAGCTTTAGCATCGTCTACAATAAGCGATATATGCAAAAGATGAGATTACAGTCATTATCTTTGAACAGGTTCTCTATAAGTTCTTGGATTACTATGGTTCATTTGATTGGAGCAACTACTGTATCAGTGTCAATGGTCCTGTGCCAATATCTTCCCTTCCAGAGCGTATGGGTAAGGATAATGCTAGAAATTACATACACTTCTCTTCGTAGCGTTTTCTCGCCTTTATTTGACAAGTTTGCGTTATT